AGGCGAAGGAATTGGGAATAGGGGATAGCATTTTTGCAGGAAGGTGGATGGGAGGAGGAGTATTCTAGGTAGCTGCGGGAGTCGTTGGGCTTGAAATGAATATCGGTTTCTAGGTGGTTGCCCGATATGGAGACAGAGAGGTCCAGGAAGGGGAGAGAGGTGTTAGAGATGGTCCAGGTAAACTTAAGGTTGGGGTGGAAGGTGTTAGTGAAGTGTATGAACTGTTCGAGCTCCTCGTGGGAGCACGAGGCGGCGCCGATTCAGTATCTTTATATCATGCCTTTCAACAACGATTGATATCTTAAAAGTCTTTACTATCAAAGAAGTACTTTTGAAGTTAGAGTCAGAGTCATACCGGGTGGAAACAGACCCTTTGGTCCAACTTGTCCATGCTGACCAAGTTTCTCAAACTAAACTAGTCCTACTTGCCTGTGTTTGGCCCACATCCCTCCAAACCTTTCCTATTCATGTCCTTATACAAATGTCTTTTAAATATTGCAACTGTACCTGAATCTACCTCTTCCTCTGGCAATTCATTCCACGTACGAATCTGTATGAAAAAGTTGCCCCTCAGGTCCTTTTTAAATCTTTCTCCTCTCAGCCTAAAAATATGCCCCTTCATTTTGAGCTCCCTGACCTTGTGAAAAGCAAAGGTCTTATCCCTTTTATCTGTGCCCCTCATGATTTCATAAACTTCTATAAGGTCACTCCTCAACTTCCCACATGCCAGTGAAAAATGTCCCAGCCTCTCCTTATAACTCAAACCATGTAGTCCTGGCAACATCCTGGTAAATCTTGTCTGAATCTTCGCCAATTTAATAATATCCTCCATATAACAGGGCGACCAGAACTGTACATAGTACTCCAAAGGACGACCTGCAGGTGACATCTCAACTCCTGTGCTCAATGGCCTGAGCAATGAAGGCAAGTATGCTAAATGTCTCCTTAACCATGCTGTCTTTCTGTGACGCAGCTTACAAGGAACTATGTACCTGAACCTCTTGGTCCCTTTGTTTGAGGGACTACCATTAATTGTACAGGTCTTGCTCCATTTCGCCACCAAAATGCAATACTTTGCATTTATCCAAATTAAACTCCATCTGCCACTCCTCAGTCCGTTGGTCCAATTGATCAATATCCCTTTGTAATTTTAGATAACTTTCTTTATTGTCGACTATACCATTAATTTTGGTGTCATCTGTAAACTTATTAAACATGCCTTCTAAATTCTCGTCCAAATCGTTTATATAAATGACAAACGAGTGGACCCAATACTGATCCCTGTGGAACACCATTGGTCCCAGGCCTCCAGTCCAAAAAGCAACCCTCCACCACCGTCTTCTGTCTTCTACTGTCAAGCCAATTTTATATCCAATTGGCAAGCTCTGTCTGAATCCTATGTGATCTAACTTTACTAATCAGTCCACCACGCAGAACCTTGTCGAAGGTTTTACTCAAGTCCATGTAGACAAAGTCTACCACTCTGCCGTCATCAATCTTTTTGGTTACATCCTCAAGAATCTCAATCAAGTTGATGAGACATGATTTCCCAAGTACAAAATTATGCTGACTATCCCTAATCAGTCCTTGCCTCTCCACATGCATGTAAATCCTATCTGTCAGAATCCCCTCCAACTAATTACCAACCACTGATGTCAGAATCACCAGTCTGTAGTTACCAGTCTTCTCCTTACAGCCTTTCTTAAACAAAGGCACAACATTAGCCACCCTTGAGTCCTCCTGCACCTCACCCATGGCAGTAGATGATACGTATATCTCTGCTAGAGGCCCCACAATTACGTCCCTAACTTCCCATAATGTCCTGGGATATACTTGATCAAGTGTCAGAGATTTATCATCTTTATGTTTTTGAAAGACCTCCAGTACCACCTCATTTGTAACGTGGACTGTTTTCAAGACATCACTATTTATTTCCCTAAGTTCGCTAACTTCCATGTCTTTGTCCACAGTAAAATATGATGCGAAATATTTGTTTAGTGTATCTCTCATCTCCTGTGGTTCCATACATAGACGACCTCATTGATCTTTACGGGGCCCTATTCTCTCCCTAGTTGCTTCTTTGCTGTTCATATGCTTGTAGAATCTCTTTGGATTACCTTTAACCTTAACTGCCAAAGCTATCTTGTCTCCCCTTTTTGCTCTCCCAATTTCCCTCTTGAGAATACTCCTGCACTCCTTATACTCCAAGAAATTCACTTGATCCCAGTTGTCTATACCTAACATATGCCGCCTCCTTATTCTTGATCAGAGCCTCAATATATTTATTCATCCATTGTTCCCTACTTTTACCAGCCTTGCCCTTCACTCTAACAGGAATGTAATGCCTCTGACCTCTTGTTATCTCACTTTTGAAAGCCTCCCACTTGCCAGTCATCTCTTTACCTGAGAACAGTCTACTCTAATCAACTTTTGAAAGCTCCTGTTTCATACCGTCAAAATTTGCCTTACTCCAATTAAGAACTTTAACTTTTATACAAGACCTTTCTCTGTAACTATTTTAAAACTAATAGAATTATGATCACTGATCCCAAAGTACTCCCTATTAATGCTTCAGTCACTTACCCTGCCTTATTTTCGAGGAGAAGGTCAAGTTTTGCTCCTTCTCTAGCACATCTACATATTGCTACAACGGTATGTCAAAGTGTAGTCACTACTATTTGGTGGAAACACTGCAGTCAATTTGCACACAGCAATCAATCAGTAGTGACTAGATAATTGTTTTATGATGATTGACAATAAATATTGGCCAACATCAGGGATAGCTCATCTATTCATCTTGTGCTATGGGATCTTTTGCATCCAACTGAGGGAGCAGAGGCTCAGTTTAATGCTCTGTTAAAAAGATGGCATTTCCAACAGTGTACTCTTTCAGTACTGCATTCCATTGCCATCCTTGATTTTGGTTTTTGTATTTAAGTCTAAGATGAGTTGATGCATTTATGTTTGAAGTATTGCAATTTATATACCTGTAATAAAATAACGGATCTTTGTGACATACTATGTAGGAAGTTTTAAAATTTGGGAGGGAGTGTTTGAAAGTTTGGAGGAGTGACATAGACAATAACATTTCGATGAACTTACTGATTTTGGTGAGGTATTGATAAGCATGCAAAACGTGCCTACCTTGTTCAGCTGAATTAGGAAAAATGGTGCTAACCTTCAAGCACAGCAAAAATTTGAAGAGAATAATTTAAACTGTTTGAACACAAGGTTGAAGCATGATTAATTGCAGATATGTCACCTAATGATGGTACGGTGGAAGCAATTTGAGGTAACAGACCTAAGTGTCAGGTAACATGGAAGTGTTCTGGCTTAAATGTGATTCTTTTCCTCCTTGATTTTATATTTGTATGAATATTGTTAGCTGGTCAATATAGCAGCTGTCTGTACAAGATGGCAAGTTCAAAAGCTCATTCTACAATGCAACCTTCTGGCCAAAAACTAGAACTACATTATTATGGCAGCTGTTTAAATTCATGATTTCCATCATAAATGTTTACAATCTTATTATGGAAATGCAACCAAAAATTATGTATTTTGTGTAAAACAGTGCAGATTCTCCTTTGGAGAATTGTCATGGAATTACTTATAATGACTTATGGAATTTCTTTGGATTCAATTGAAGTTATTGTAGTAAGTTACTTGAACCCTGTGATGTACTCCTTTTAGGGTGTTCGAGGTTTATATAAAGGAATGGCTGCCCCAATTGTTGGTGTTGCACCTATGTTTGCAGTGTGTTTCTTTGGTTTTGGCTTGGGTAAGAAACTACAGCAGAAGAATCCTGAAGATGTCCTCACGTGAGTATTCTTAGAGATTGAAGTTGAAGTTGTTTTGTTTGAAGTCATTCACTTTCAACGTAATGTTATAATAAAAACAAGGAACAGAAACCATTTTCAGTGATAACCTTGGCTGGGAGCCAGGTACCTTGCAGGAATTTGGAAGGCAAGACTGTAAAAACACAAGACAGCGATGCACAGAGATCTGTTTGGCCCAAAAAATAATGATTTCCTTGTTATAACAAAGTTACAAAATTAAGAGAAATTGACCTCTGGAGAGGAAATTAGGAAAATGTTAACTGATTTGCTGGGTAACAGCAAGTGGCAATTGGTAAAACATCTGATACAGAGGTGCATTGGCAATTTATCAGGGTACTTGAGTGGGTTATACAAAGGCTTTGTATTATTTATCAGCATTACTGAAGGTAAGCCTCTGAAATGTTCACCGCCTTCCTCAACCGAGGATTCCCCACAACCATGGTTGACAAGACCCTTAGACATGTCCATCCCATCTCCTCCACTTTGGCCCTCAATCCCTTTCTTCCCTCCCACAACAACGTCAGTGTCCCCTCGTCCTCACTTAGTTTCCTACCAACATCCACATCCAAAAGATCATTAGCTGTCATTTCTGTCACCTCTCGCGGGATGCCACCTCCATGCACACATTCCTCTCCCCTCCCTTATCAGCCTTCTGCAGGAAACATTCCCTCTGGGACTCCTTGGTCCACTCCTCCAATCCCAACGTTTCCCCACACCACCATGGCACCTTCCCATGCAATCGCATAAGGTGTAATACCTGCCCATTTGCTTCCTTTCTCCTCACTATCCAAGGTCGCAGACACACCTTTCATGTGAAGCAGGATTTACCTACACTTTGCTCAATCTAGTCTACTGTTTTTGTTGCTCAGTGTGGTCTCCCGTGAATTGGGAAGATGAAGTGCAGACGAGGAAAACTGCTTTGAGAATATCTACTTTTTTATCTGCAAAAATGACTCTGAGCTTCTGGGTGCCATTGCAAAACACCACTGCGTTCATAGAGTTATCATAGAATCCCTGCAGTGTGGAAACAGGCCCTTTAGCTCAACAAGTCCACACTGCCTGTCAGAGCGTCCCACCCAGACCCATCCCCCTATAACCCACCTAATTTACACATCCCTGAACACTATGGGCAATTTAGCATGGCCAATTCACCTAGCCTGCACATCTTTGGACTGTGGGAGGAAACCGGAGCACCTGGAGGAAACCCACACAGACAGTCAGGCAAGGGTGGAATTGAACCTGGGTCCCTGATGCTGTGAGGCAGCAGTGCTAATCACTGAGCCACCATGCCGCCCACTGGCTATTATCTCTGTTTCAGGCATCCAGTTCTCCAGCTAAGCTCAGAGCAAGCGGGAAGAACAACACCTCATCTTCTGCTTGGGAACCCTGCAGCCTTCTGGATTCAATATTGAGTTCAACAATTTCAGGGCTTGAGTACCTTCTCCCATGTCCTTACCCCAACCTCTACACACCAGGCCTTGTCATCGCGTGGGTTGCTGCCACAAGCAACCCAATGTTGGCCACTAATAGTCCCCATTGGCAGCTATTCATTCTCCCAGGCTGATCTTTACCCCCTCCTTCGCCTGTTCCACTGTTCTTTGCTACCTTTAGGCTCTATCTCCACCCTCCCCCCACCCCTTCTTTAGCATATATACCAATCTTTTCCCAGCTGGAATCAGTTCTGAAGAAGGATCACTGTACTCAGAAGGTTAACTCTGCTTTCTCTCCACAGATGCTGCTAGACCTGAGTTTTTCCAGCAATTTCTGCTTTTGTTTCTGATTTCCAGCATCCGCAGTTTTTTTTTTTTTTGGATACTGAGGATGCTTCATTTAATTAAGATGAGAGAAATCGTGGATTCCCTCACAAATGTAAAACTAAAAAAATTGCTGTTCTGATGCATTGCTGAATAGCAATAGACCCTGTATGCAGAATGACTGTCTAAAAGATTGCACCAAATTAGTTGCTACAGGAGCCACAAGGTTTAAACATACAAAAGTAATTCATAATAATTACAGATATACCTAAGAACACATTTGCAATAATAAAAATTGACGTAGAATTCAGACATCACTGTTACCAAGCTCAAGGGAAATAGATGATCATGTCTTATTGAATTCTGAAGAATCTGTTCTATCTAAGTACTTAGATCAAGTAGCTGCAAAAACTTTGGGTTTAACAGGTCCTATCACTAGCCAAGCCTGGGCCTTGTTCAACAGATTGATATCCATGTGTTGAATTCAGCAGCAAAAGACTTTGAGTCTTTGGAAGGTTTTATTATAAATTTCTTTTTTACCACAACCACCAGTTTTCACATTTCTGTTCTGGGCCCCCTCCCTGTCCAGAAACCAACTCCCCACTGGGGAAGAACCCAGCTCTTTCTTTTCTTGAAAATAGATCCACCACCAGTTAAACAAAACAACCAATGAATAAGTTGTAGAACTGCCACCAATGATAATGTCAAAGAACCCAGCTCTCTTTATTTTTATTTTGGGGTTGGAGACAATAAGGGAGAGGCTGAATAGACTGGAGCTGTTTTCTCCCGAGCGTCTGAGATTGAGGGGTGACTTTTAGAGACGTTCATAAAATCATGAGGGCCATGGATAGGGTGAATAGCCATGGTCTTTTCCCCCAGGGGTCCAAAACTGGAGGGCATAGGTTTAAGGTGACAGGGAAAAGATTTAAAAGGGACCTAAGGGGCAACCTTTTTATACATAGGGTCATGCGTATATGGAATGAACTGCCAGAGGAAGTGGAGGAGGCTGGTACAATTACAACATTTAAAAGATATCTGAATGGGTACATGAATAAGAAGGGTTTAGAGGGATATGGGCCGAATGCTGGCAAATGGGACTAGATTAATTCAGGATATCAGGTCGGCATTGACGAGTTGGACTGAAGGGTCTGTTTCTGTGCTGTACATCTCTGACTCTATAACACTCAGATGACCAATTATTAACAACAAATAAAGCTATTAAGGAGCTCTGGAGCTGTTCTTAAATGCAGTTCTAACACTGTCACACCTTGCCTGAAGTGTCAATCATGCCATTAAAATGGAGATAGTTAAAGGAAACATGGGTCTCTGATAGGTATATTACAAGGCTGTCCTCGAAGGAATCTCTGTCTGAAGTCGTAGCTTCTTGACTTAATAGTCAAAACATGTCTGTAGATATCTCAAGCTCCTAAAGCTGATGGAATGAGGTTAGTTTGTAGTCTTCGATAAATCTCATGGTCAGCTAAAAGACTGGAAATGAAACTTGAATCGGCATCCACAATTCTTAATTGGCAAAAGTCCCATGACTATTTCATCCAGGTAACCACTCTTCATGCTTTGGCCTAGACCTTTAATGTTACAGACTGTTCAGCTATGGCAGAAAATATATTTCTATCCTCGCACAGTGTTAACACAGGCTTCATGGTACTGAGGCCAATTGTAACACTCCTTCTGACACAAGCTGATATAACCCAACTGAACTTAGAAGAATCTTATTTACACAATATCTGTATCACCTGATCGGTCAAAGAACAGAATACCCTCTGCCTTTTCCTGTCCTTGGAAATCTCTGATATTCTAACCTTTACAATTCAGAGTGAACACCTTGTCTCCCATTTCTGTTTTACTGGACAGGTATCCGCAGTTGTTTGCTGCAGGGATGCTGTCTGGGGTCTTCACCACTGCGATCATGGCACCAGGAGAAAGGATCAAATGTCTTTTACAGGTAGGAATTGGTTACAAGTTAAAGAGTCATAGAATCAAACAGTTCAGAAGAGACCCTTCGGACCATTACGTCTGCACTCACAAAAAAAAAAGCCTTTGAAGAAGCACCCCCAAGGTAAATGCCTAAAATGTCTTATCCTTTAATTTGTTTTATGAAAATTAAAGTAACACACTCAAGTGGTTGATTGAAATATGATTTTCATTCCTTCATGAAGCCTCCATCAAGAGGACTCTTCCCCATTCTTTTGTTCCTCCATGAACCTCCGTGGGTGGGCAGGTTGGCAGAGCCGAATTGAGAAATACTAGTTTTTTAAAAAAAATTAATTCCTGGGGTGAGAGCATCGCTAGCTAAGCCAGTATTTGTTGCCCATCCCAGTTACCCAGAGTCAACCACATTGCTGCAGTTCTGGAGTCCCGTATAGGCCAGACCAGGTAAGAATGGTAATTTCCTGCCCTAAATGACATCAATGAACTGGAACAATCAACAATGGATTCACGGTCATCATTAGACTCTTAATTCCAGGTTTTTATTGAATTCAAATTCTACTACCTGCCGTGGTAGGACTAGAACCCAGATGTCCAGATTAACTAGGTCTATGGATTAACAATTCAGCAGTAATACCACTGGGCTGTTGCCCCCCTGTCTGGTACTACAGGTAGGAAGAAATAGCAAAAGTTTTGACCATCTTGAAATACAACATTAGGACATAACAGCAACATGCATTTATGTACAGGTAGTTCTGCTATAACGTGTATTTCGTTAGCACAAATTGACTGTAACACGATTGATGAGTAGTGGGCGCTGTTTGGATAACATGAACTTTCTACTGTACAGATGTAGCGATTTCCCTATAATGCGATTTTCAATGACACGAGGTCACACAAGAATGTGTTCGAGGCGAACTACCTGTACTGCATTTAACTGTTATGAATCTCTAATTTATGGCTCATAAGTTTTAGGACACTGTACAATTTGTGGTTTTGAGCATTAGCAGTTTCAAGTGGAGAAGATGGAGCAATGAAAGCAAACTAGGAGGCTATTATTGCTAAAAGCTCAAAAGAGAAGCGATGGAGTTATGAAACATTGGGTGGAGAATTTAGACAATGCATGAGCTAACTGAAAGCAAAAACAGAAAAGGGAAACCTTGGAAAGAGACTATCATCTCGGCTTCTAAGGGAACAAATGCTGAACTTGAGGTTTGAAAACCAAGATTGAGTGGGCAGACTGAAACTGTTGAGGTTATATCAAGGGACTCCGAGCCATTCAAGTTCAGTTGTGGTAGATTGGACCTGTTGTGGTTTGCAGCTCACTGACAGCCAATGTAAATGGTAGTCAGTTAACTGTGCTGTAAGCACAGAAAAATCTAACTTCATTCCCTGAATGAAATGTGGGTGAGGCTTAAACTCAGTTTGAACATTATGAGAGACCAGAATCCAGAAAATTTTGAAACACGAAGCTGGTGAAAAAAATCTATGTTGGTCCTCACTGAGCATTGTTGTTAAAAAAGAAATCAACAGGTTAACTTGGAAGTTTTGAAAAGTAACTCGGACAAGGAGCTAAGGAATCTACATTCAAGAGATGTTAAATTAAAGTTTTACTCTGGAAAAAAGACTGAAGATATGGGAATGTTAAAGAAAGTTTCTAGAGGAATGTGGTATACTGAAAATTGTATCATTTTGAAGTAAATAACTTCAAAATACCTTAGCATATCAGTAAACCTAACAGCCTGGCATGTATAGAAATAAGTTATAATATTAATATAGTCCTCTTTTGTTTTGTTTAATTTGTTCTACGTGCAAATGTTTGTTCTGTTTTAAAAACAAATCGTCTGGCTTAGTTCTATGAACTGCATCCAGATGTTTGGGCTTCTGTTTCAATGTTAACAGTCCCTTACCACATTGTAACAGAAGTGAAACATACCAAGGCACTTAAAAAGAGCTTCATATATAATACACCCAATTCACAGAAGCATATACTGGAACAGATGATGAAAAGTTTGATCAAAAAGCTCAGTTTTAAGGGACATGTTAGGAGACAGAGACCGAGACAGAGGCAGGGGTTAGCGAGGGAGTTTGACAGCTTGGGGCAACTGAAAGCACGGCTCTCTATGGTGGAGCAATTGAAATCGGACAAACACGAGATTAGATTAGAGGACGGAAGTTTCTTTTGATTGCTGGGTAGGACAGAGATGAGGGGTGCATAACTATGGAGGAATTTGCAAACAAGGATGCGGGTTCTAAAATTAAGGCATTATCAGACTTGAAACTGTTGAATGGCAGTAAGCACAGGTTGATTGATAAGCAAGATTTGGAGTAAGTTGAGTTGTGGAGAACAAAAGTTTGCAGAGTGTAAGATGGAAGGCTGGTCAAGAGAGTGTGGGATGAGTCAAGTCTAAAGCGAACAAAGTTTTCGGCGAAGGTTTCAGCAATGGAAGAGGAGAAGCAGTTTCAGAACCAAACAATGCTGCAGAGCTGTAAATAGGCATTCTCGGTGATGTTTGCAAATTCATTTTGTGGTCAAATAGCAGCACCAAGGTTGCAGACAGTCTTAATCATTTTGGGAAGGAAACCTGTCAGAGAATGGAGTTTGCTGTGTGTACTTAAGATAATAGCCACAGTCTGCCAAGTTTTAGAAAATCTCTAATTCTCTGTTGTGAGAGATTGGGATAGTTGCTGGACTGTAGAGTGGGAGTGAAGGAGCAGCAGATGGCAAAGCCAATTCTTGTTCTCACCCAACCAGAAGGAATATGAACTGTCCAATTGGGAAGAAAAATCAGAATTCTGATTTGCCTGTTCTGAACTGAATGTCAATTATCAATCCATCAGCAGTTAGAAAGAGACGAGCAATCGAGCATGGAGCTTTTTTTTATTCAGTCAAAGGATGACTGCATCACTGGCTAGGCCAACATTTATTGCCCATCCCTAATTGCCCAGAGGACAGTTCAGAGTCCACCGCATTGCTGTGGGTCTAAAGTCACCTGTAGGCTAGACCAGGTAAGGATGGCAGTTTCCTTCCCCATTAGTGAATCAGATGGGTTTTTCTGACAATCGACAATGGTTTCATGGTCACCAGTGGATTCTTAATTCCAGATATTTTATTGCCATGGTGGGATTTGAACCCGGGTCCCCAGAACATTATCTGGTCTCTGGATTAACAGTCCAGCGATGATACCACTAGGCCATTGCCTCCCTTGATTGGTGTAGTTATCATTGACCATCTCAGGTAATGTAGGGAGACTGAGAGGTGTTATAAACCAAGTCATCAAATAATTGGTAAACTAATCTCCACCGATTTTAATCTTTTTTTATATATATATATATAAACACAACATTGGAGAGTTAATACCTTGAGGTCCTTCTGTTCCACTGTATTTCTTGGGATTAAATGTTTTGCTTTTTTTTTAATATCTTGCCTACGTAACTAGTTGTGCAATTTTTTTTTTCAGATTCAGGCAACAACTGGTGAAAAGAAGTATGCAGGCCCTTTGGATTGTGTGAAACAGATCTACAAAACATCTGGCATTCGGGGCGTCTACAAGGGAACTGTTCTCACCCTCATCAGAGGTACACAAACTGAACATCATTGATCCTTTTTCTACATAGCTTATAAATTGATCCAGGTTTCCCTATTTCTACCTTGCTATTACAGTTAGTGGTGAACCTTGACCTGTTGGTATATAACAGAACTGTTCGGGAGGAGTTTGAGTGTATTGGTGTAGTAAGTCATCTGGATTGCTCCCTTGGGTTATTCGGTTCCATCATCGCCTGATGCAGTCCTGCTGTGGTAGCTTATGCTCTTCGTGACAGAACTTACCCCATCATTGGCTATCGGACAGAGGGATTTGAGAGCCCTTGTGCATGGTTGACAAAATGCTAGCATCCAAGTTCAGCAGTAATAAGGAAGGGAGATGGAATGTTGGCCTTTACTTCAAAGAGAACGGAGCATGAAAGAAAGGTGGGTTTGCTAAAACTATGCAAGGCACTGGTCGGACTGGTTCTGGGGAAGGGTCACCAGACCCGAAACGTTAACTCTGTTTTTTCTTTCACAGATGCTGCCAGGCTTGCTGAGCTTTTCCAGCAACTTTGTTTTTGTTACTGGTCGGACCACAGCTGGAATAGTGTGAACAGTTTTGGGCTCCTTACCTAAGGAAAGATATACTGGTTTAGGAGGCAGTCCAGAGAAGGTTCACTTGGCTGATTGTGGGTATGGAGGGACTGTCTTATGAGGAGGGGTTGAGTCGATTGGGTCTGTACTTTTGGGAATATGGAAGAATGAGAAGTGAATTATTGAAACATGTAGATTCCTAGGGGACATGACAGGGTAGATGCAGAAAGATTATTTTCCCTTGTGAAAGAGTCTGGGACCAGCAGCCATAATCTCAGAGGGTCACCCATTTAAAACAGAGATGAGGAGGAATTTCCTCTCTGAGAGAGCGCTGTATCTGGAATTCGTATATTTAAGGCTAATATAACAGATTGTTTAATCAATAAGGGAATAAAGGGTAATGGGAAAAGGCAGGAAAGAGGAGCTGAAGGTTATCAGATCAGATCTCTTTGAATGTCAGAAATGGGTTGAATGCCTACTTCTGTCCTAAGCCTTGTGGTTTACCCATACGCAGGTGCTCTTGGAAACTGATATCCCAAGCCAGAGTGCATCTGTGCCCGTTCTTAATTCAGTGATTTTGCTGATGATGGTCTGCTAATTCTTGCACTGTTACACAATTCAAGGTTCAAAAATGATGGAGACAAGGTGGGATGAATCAAGAAGTCATAACTTAAGTGTAACAACCTTGTAGATGATAGGAGGAAGGATATGGCATGACTAGTTTCACAACATTGTGGATGATAAGGGAATTTAAAATATTTATTCAACAATCTCCAAAATTGGTTTGTTTCATCCTGATGTGGTTTATTACAGAAGTCCGTTGACAGCACCAAGAGGCTGCAGGACAAACTATCCACATTGCTTCAGAAGCCATTAATTGCCATGTTGTTCATGTCTGTGAAGAGTTCAATGAAACCACAGATTTTATGCCCGGCTAAGAGGGATTTTTACCTCTTGCAGCTCCTGTTTGAGCTAGAATACCTTGAAATGGTTCTTTTGTTCATATTTTCCTGTTGGCTACTTACATAATTATTATTTGTGCCAATCGCTTGACTGTTATCTTGGAGGTGGGTTCTGGGAAGTGCAGACTTTTATTGCCTTTTAATCTCACTGAATGGTAGTTGTACGATCTGTTTACTAAATTCCTACTGATTTCCTGCCTCTGAAAGTTTAAAAGGGATCAGAAACAGAATTTGTGAAATATCTCCCAATCTAGCAGTTCTTCTGAGGTTGTGTAAACGTGAATTGGGGACCCAGTGACAATCTAAATTTAAGTTGCGTCGTGAATGCTAAAATATCTATTCTTGGAAGATTTAGAGGAAAATTGCACCAGAGTGTAGCTGAAATTTGATCTGCTTTAATGGAAACACAAAAAGCTGAAATAAGCCAATAATAAATGAGGCAGCATCTATGGAGAGAAACAGTTAATGTTTCAGATCAATGAAATTTCTTCTGAATGGCAGAGAAATAAAATATCAGTATTTTAAGCTGGTGGAAAGGGACAAGAAGAACTCAGAAAAAGATTAACTCTGTTTCTCTCCACAAATGTTCCGTGACGACTTTTCTTACTTGTTCTTTATATCTGCTTTTGTGTCTATTGGTAATTTTTTTAATGAACTTGTTGTGTAATTTTATAGATTCAACCATAGCCTAAAGTCCAAGAGATGAAAAGAAACTGTGCTGTGTCAATTCTGTAGGCAGAGTGGTGGTTTCCTTTCCTCTTCTGGGGAGCGCTACACTGACAGATGTACTTGAGTTTGAAGGGAGCAGGACCCTGCTTTTAGAAGTGATCCTTGGCTTGGAGCATTACAGTTAATCTGTATAAATCCCGGAAAAGTACCAAAGAGTTCTACAGTTTGAAAAATAAAGAATAAATCATTTTAGAGTGGGCTGAGTCCTTCACCTTCTCTCTCTGCTTTTCATTATCTTTCTTATCTTTTTCTCTTTATCAGTATCTTTTTCTCTTTATCAGTATGACTAAGGTCATTGCTGTCTGAGCCTGAGCCTTCTCCTAATCTCTATTTCAACACTATGAAGCGATTAGAAAGAAAAATTTTATGTACAGTAGGAATGTTTAGCCCTTAGCAAGGCATAAGGGAAGACAGTTGGAAGGAGTGATTACAATATCAAACCAAATATTGAAGTACAAAATGGAAGTTGCAGGATAAAAACATGAATTGTTGAAATGTGGTGAACTTTTGTCTTCCTGCTTCAGCTGTATAACTTTTTTTTCTGTTTTGTTAGATGTTCCTGCAAGTGGAATGTACTTCATGACCTATGAATGGCTGAAACATACGCTTACTCCCGAGGGACAGAGGTCAGTATCTTCATAATATTGTATCCATTGAAAATCAGATTGCATTGTGTGTCGCAGTCCTATCTTGAGCAAAGCATTTTGGGGTATTCTCACTATCCTTCCTACCGTCCTTGTTTGGAGACAGCTGTGTAAAATTCCATCTTCTTAATGTTCCTGAGAAACAGCCAAAGAAATAGCATGTTAATGAGTGCAATACCAATGTGCATTTCCAAAACTTCAAGTGAAAAGTGACTGATCTCTGCAGGTCTGTTGCAGTGGAGTCTAGAATATCCAGCAATGATGACATTGTCTCAATTGCCCTTTTCCAACATTAGAATCCTTTATTTATTCATTCAGGGGATGAGGGTGTCGTTGGCCAGGCAGCATTTATCGCCCATCCCTAATTGCCCAGAGGGCAGTTTTAGAGTCAACCACATTGCTGTGGGTCTGGAGTCACATGCAGGTCAGACCAGGTAAGGATGGCAGTTTCCTTCCCTAAAGGACATTAACGAACCAGATGGATTTTTCTGACAATTGACAATGGATTCATGGTCATCATTAGATTGTGAATCCCAGATATTTATTGAATTCAAGTTCCACCATCTGCCGTGGCGAGATTCAAAAGTGGGTCCCCAGAACATTAGCTGGGTCTCTGAATTAACAGCCTAGCAATAATACCACTAGGCTATTGCCTCCCCAAAGAATTGTGAATACACTTCAGAAAGTAGCCCTTTGTCTGTATGACACTTCGGATATCCTGAAGTCTTGAGGCATAAACAATAGGAGCAGAAGTGGCTGCTTCAAGCCTTCAAACAGTGTTTTTTTCCTTATTCTGTCAGATGTGGGTATCACTGTCAAGGTTAGCATTTGCTGACATCCTAATTGCACTTTAACTGTGTGACTTCCTTGCCCATTTAAGGGCAGTTAATAGTCAACCATATTTCTGACGAGTCACATCTCCACCAGACCAGTGGTACCGAAGGACGTTGGTGACCCAGAGGATTTTTATGGTAATTGATGGTTTCATGGTCACCATTACTGAGACTGGCTTTATATTCCAGATTTCTTCACTGGAGTTTAAATCTCACCAGCTGTGCTGGTGGGGTTTGTACCTCTGTCGCAAAAGCATTAGCTTGCGCATCTGGATTACCAATCCACTGACATAATCACTGCACCAGCATCTCCCCCTGTAACATGGCTGTTCTGCCTCAACTCTACCATCCTTCACTATTCACTTTTGCCTTAATTCCCTGAGCATTTAAAAACCTATCATCCTCTACGTGGACTGAGTCACTTCACGTCCCCGGTATAGAAAATTCCAAAAATCCAAAGTGCTCCGAGTGAAGAAGTTTCTTCTCATCTCAGTAGTAATTGGCCAACCCTTTATTCTGAGTTTGATTCCTGGTTCTGGATTCCCCAGCTCGGGAAACACTCTTCCCATTTATCTGACCAAGGCTTTTAAAATGCTATGTACTTCAAAGTAAGTGTTTTTCTGAATTTCAGAAAATATCATCCTGTCTACTCAGTTTACATGCATAAGACCATCCTATTATCTCAGAAAGCATTGTTGTGAAGCTGTTATTGCACCTTCTCCAAAGTAATTTTAACTTTACCAATGTAGGGTGACCAAAATGGCACTCAAGGTAAGGTCTCACCAAGTCCATGTACAATTGCAGTCAAACTTCTCCTTCATTCCCTTTTGGAGTAAAAGCTAACATATCATTTTTCTCTCCTCATAGTGAGCATCTCTGCATGTTAGCTTTGAGTGATTGATGCATTAGGGACATTTGAGTCCCTCTGAGCAACATTTCCCAGTCTCTCATCATTTTAAAAATATTCCATTTTGGAAGGTGAAATAGATAAATTCTTACTTCCGTCCGTTATATTGCATCTGATTCTTGTTATTCCTTCATGTAACCTGTCTCTTTCATTTCAGGTTTCTGTGTCCTCAGAACTTATTTTCCTATTTAACTTGCTTTCATCAGCAAACTTGGATATATACATATGATCCCTTCACCACGCAAGTTATTAATGCAGATTTGAAACAGCTGTTAGCACTGATGCTTGCTGTAGCTTGCTAGTTACAAACTGCCAGTTTGCAAATGATCCATGAATCCTTCGAGTTCAGTTTGTTGAGCAATTCTTAATCTGTGCCAATCCCATGAGCTGTAATTCTGTGCAACACCTATGGTGTGGCAGCTTACCAAATGTTTCTTTATGCAAATCCAGATATTAAATATACACAGGTTTTCCCCCTTAATCTACCCGAGTTGTTACACTCGAGTAGATTGTTCAAAAAACTATTTCCCCTTCATACATTTGTGTTGACTTTGCCTAATCACATTGTGGTTCTCTGAAGTGCCCTGTTTTCATTTCGATCCTCAATTCTCACACTTGCCTCCTATTGCTATCAAGTTAGCATGTTTATAGTTTTCTGATTTCTTGCTTTCCTTTCTTGAATTATAGGGGTTACATTTCTAACTTTCAAACTTTAGCACACTATTATGGGATTTGGGAGTCTGGAAGATTAAAATCAATTGCATTCACAAACTCTGTGGTTATATAACCCCCTGATGCAAAATGTCAAGTCCAGGGGATTTGTTGACTTATCATTCATTTCTCCAGAACCACTTCTTATTTAGTAACAATTCTCAAGGTCCTCATTTTCACCAGATCCTTTAGAAAAATTAAAGGAGAGCCTCTGCTAATGATTTTTTTGGCAACTCTATGTTGCCAGTCATGGAGTATTAATTGCATTCCTCAAAAGAGAGTCAAAGGTGCTCCATATGTACTGCTATTAGAAACTTAGCAATAAATGGTTAGAATCGTACAGTACAGAAGAGGCTGTTTGGCCCATGTTATTGTTATGGTTATGGTTATGGATTAGAATAAACAGAGGCCCATGACCTGGTGGCCAATTCCTTCCTGTGTATTGCCTTTATGTAGCATTTTTGAAGGACCACAGACATTTTAGTGTGCTTTGCAGGCAATGAAGTACTTTAGAATTGCAGTCGTTGTTGTAATTCAGTAGCCAAAATACATAGAGTATGCTTCCACAAAACAAAACATGCTAACGACCAGATAACTTATTTGAGGGATAGATCACTCCCAGGCCACTAGGGATAATTTCCCCACTTCTCTCCAAAACTTTCATCTACTGGGCAAGGATATGGGATCTTGGAATAGCTGATAGCCTCTCGAACAGTGTGGCACTCACTTAATACTGGACTTGAGTGTCGGCCTTGACTTTTGGGCTCAAGTCCATGGACTTGAACCTAGAATCTTGTGACTTAATGGCAAGAGTATTATCCCTCGAACTGTTGATGACACCAAAATGTCAGAATTGGCGATAGAGCTGAGGCAGCAAAACATTTCAGAAATTTAGTTCCATAAATTGCTTTTCTCCCCCCACTTTGTTGCAGTGTTGCTGATCTGAGTGTACCCCGTGTCCTGCTTGCTGGTGGAATGGCTGGAATCTTCAACTGGGCAGTTGCAATTCCTCCAGATGTGCTGAAATCCAGATTCCAAACGGGTCAGTTGATTCTTCTGAAACTCCTTTTGAGTCTCTGCAACAACTCGAGGCATTCCAGAGAAGGTTCACTAGGCTTATACAGGGTTTGGAGGGCCTGTCTTATGAGGAGAGATTGACTGGATTGCACCTACACTCATTGGAATTTAAAAGAATGAGAGGTGACCTTATTGAATTGTACAAAATTCTTAGCATACTTGACATGGTAGATACAGAAAATTTGTTTCTCTTTGTGGAAGAGACTGAGATGGACAGATTTTTAATCCTGAGGGGAATCAAAGGTTATAAGAAAAAGGCAAGAAAGGGGAATTGAGGCTCTCATTGAGGGATGGAACAACTTGATAGGATGATTGGTCTACTTCTGCTGTTATGTCTTATGGGCTTATGACTTGGCTTGGGAGTTGGATCTGGTCTGGTGTCTCCAGATACAGCCAGCAGAAGCACTAAGCATACAGACCACAGTCTGTAGTTCGATTGCTATGCTGTGACCGTGTTTATCTTTGGTCAGGGTGGTAATATTTACTTAGAGTATTTTATGTTAGGGATGGCGTGATAATCAACCATGGGTCCTGCTCCTAATCATAACGCAGTGGTGACTACTGAGATCTGCCCATGTGTGTTTGGGAACGTTGGGACAGGATTGCACTTGGCAGTGTGATTGCATCATATGTTGCCAGTCATTGTCTGGATTCCTACATGTGCAATGACCGATTGCAGGGAACCTTGTCGAAACCTTTTAACTGTGCAGGATTTTCAAGTTGGAGTAAATACGAGAAATAAAAAAAAAAAGTCTTTTTGGTAATTTTTGTATTGTTTAGTGGTGTCCAGCATTGCAGTGAAGAATGCGTGGATAGGGTGAGATGAGGTAAGGTACTGGAAAACTTGTGTGGAGCAAGAACACAAACGTCAACTAAATTGACTGGGTATTATTTAAATTGGGAAAGACTGTAGAAAGCTGCAGCAAAAGGATTTGGGGATCCTTGTGCATGAATCCTAAAAATGTAGCCTTCCGAGTTCAGCAGATAATCAGGAAATCAAATATAATGTTGGCCTTCGTTTCAAGAGGAATGGGATATAAAAATAGGGTGGGTTTGCTAAAACTAAACAAGGCACTAGTCAGATCACAACTGGTATACTGTGAACAGTTTTGGGCCCTTTTATCTAAGGAAAGATGTACTGGTACTGGAGGCAATCCAAAGAAGGTTCACAGGAATTTATTTTCTGTGAGCAGTGAATCTGTGGAGTTATTTATTCAGAGTGTGGTAGATGCTGGGTTGTTAGGCATATTCAGGGCTGAGATAGATTTTTAACCAGGAAGGGAATCCAGGATTATGGGCAAAGACAAGAAAGTGGGAGTTGAGGATTATCAGATCGGCCATGATCTCATTGAATGGTGGAGTAGACTTGATGGTCCAAATAACCTACTTCTGCTTCTGCATCATATGGTCTTCTAAACCAATTGGAGGGCTGCATTTAGAGCAAGGACGCAACTCAATGTAATCCCAATAAATAATCAATTTCTTTACATCCCCTAACTCTTAGCTCCTGAAGGAAAGTATCCTAACGGATTTCGAGATGTCCTTCGGGAACTGATCAAGGAGGAAGGTATTGGTTCACTCTATAAAGGCTTCAATGCTGTCATGATTCGAGCTTTCCCTGCCAATGCGGTAAGTGTTAGTAGTGATTATCATTTCAACTGAGCTACATGGTTCCATGTAGTAGAGCTGTGAAAGGAAATGTGCAGCATTAACGCTGGGGAATCTATATCCTGCCTAACAGATCTTTACAACAGTGTTTGCAAGTGCTGAATTGTGTTGTGGTTGTAAAAAGCTTAGAAATCATTTTAGGAATATTTAATTGATTACAGTTCATTGGTGTATGTCCCAGACAACGTTATCCCAGGTCCCTTGTTCTGTGCTGGTGCCTGCAGTCCTGGGTGAGATTATTCCTGCTCTCAAAATCCTCATCAACTTGTCAGTTGAAGATCGGGCTGGACTTGTATTACTCTTTTTTTTTTCTGCCAAAACCCAACAGGAAAACAATACTGACAGTTGCCATCAAGGCACCTGGCTGAATTATGAATATTTGGGTGAAGTCAAGAGTGGGGAAAACTGATGGTTATTTTTCAGTTTATTTGATTAAACGGGCTCTAATCATGGCAACACAGAATACTTGGACGCTAGATTAATCCACCTTCTTGGAAGATTGTCAGTTCTCAAGTTGGCCTGTGCCTTGAGGAGGTATTGAGTGTGGTCGCTTTCCAGTTTTGAAGGATGTGCAATCAGGGAGACAGTCACACCATCATGAGTCAGTGAAAAACGTCACTAACCCAGATCTGAAAGCAGATGATTGAAGCCTTGGCTTATGGAATGTGACAAAGACTCATATTATGATAATTCTTATGAAGCTCAGGTTCTAAGGTGAAGGTAAAATGGATTTTAGTTTTCAGTTCTATGCAGCTCTGATGTTTTTTAAAAGAAAAATGTCAAAGTAATTTTGGACAATAAGTTGAAGATAGCATTTCCAAGAAATCATGTGATTTTAGCTAAATGACATCAAGAAGATGATCGTGAAAGTGTCTGATGACTTGAATTTTACAATCTAGAGAGAGAAAGGGATCCACGTACAGGCTAATTCAGAGAGAAAACTGAATGGAGTTGAGGTCTAAGCCAGCTATGATCTAATTAAATGACAGAACAGGTGTGAGGAAATGAATGGCCACTTCCTGTTCTTATGATCCTACTCATGAAAAACTTCCCCAAAATTGTTGAATGCAGAGTTAACCAATGAAAGAACGACAATACTTTTTTATTTCTTTAATGGATGTGGGTATTGCTGGCAAGGCCAACATTTGTTGCCTATCCCTAAATGCCCCTTGAACTGAGTGGCTTGCTAGAGGAATTTCAGTGAGCAATGAAACATTAAGCATACTGTTGTGGATATGATGTCACATGTAGGTCAGGCAGATAAGGATAGAAGACTTCTTTCCCTAAAGAATGTTAGTGAACTAAGTTTTTATTGAATCAATGATAATCTCAGGTATAATGATTGAGAAACTAGCTTTATCCTCCAGATTTATTAATTTAATTTAAATTCCACTAGATACAGTGGATTATATCCCAGAGCAGTTTCTGGATTATTAGTCCAGTGACATTACCACTACCTCCCCCACAGTTTCTCAGTACTCTTAATGCATAAACAATTCTCCGCAACGTGAAGCAATTGAAATAATATTCCGGAAAGCCAACAAATAGAGAAATCCAACAATAGACCACAAGAAATGTGATAGATTTTTCAATGCAATTCTGAAGGAGTTTGGGGTTTTTAAAAATCATTTGGTACTGATCAGAGCTGACCAGATTTCTGGGGAAATAAATTTTTGACCCTTTTTTTTTAGTGTCCCATTTTATGTTTCTTTTTCAGGCCTGTTTCCTTGGCTTTGAGGTTGCCATGAAGTTTCTGGATTGGCTCCTACCTGGTGTGTGAGAGAGGATCAGAAGTGGATCAGTGCTGGAATTCTGAAATAGCTTACCAGATGGCCATGACTGTTTTTCAATGTGCTGAATCAGGAATGGGATTTCATTATCTAATAGATGCTGCATTGAAAATTTATCATAGTCATTTTATGAAGAATTATATTTACACTTGCCTTAACAATGTTCACCTGATGACTGTGGGTTCTATGTAAAATTCTGAAATTCACTTTTGAGCCGTAATTTATAAGTAACACGATATGCACCGGGAGAAGGCAATTATGAATCAACTGCGTCAAACTAGTGATAACATGGCTTTTCATGATTACGATCTTGTTAGCTCAGAGCTGTCCTTGCACTGATATCATTGTTAAATCTTTCCTCCTGCAACACAACAGTGCAATTAACTAGAAAAAATGCTAACCGAGTGCAGCAACTGAGGGGGAAGAGAATTTAATATCTTCGGTGTGATCCTTCAACGGTTAAACCCTTATCCTTGGTGCAACCTTTTAGGGATGAAACAAATTTAATTTGGGTGGCTTTGACCTGGGTTTCTTTTGGCACAGCTAGCTTTTGTTTTTGAGAGAGTTATAGAATGCAGATTTTGACAGCAAGGACAAGTTGAAGATTTACACTGGAAGGAATGCTATGCAACACTGCATGGACTGCAATGGTTCAAGAAGGTTGCTCATCACCATTTTTCAAGGGCACTTGGGAATTGGCAACAAATGCTGACCTAGCCAGCAATTCCTACATCCTGTGAAATAATAAAAGGGAAGTTGCACTTTAGGGTTGAGAAATGTGTTTCATTCTTAGCAGATTAGAAAATGAGAGCATTGCTGTTTCTACCACAATTTATAGGCTCCAGTTATTTTTACCTTGTATCCTTCGGTGCCTGTTCCAAACTGCCCTGTAATCTTTCAATATCTGATCAGACTTGACCTGACTTGGCCATGGTCTGAAACTGCCAACCAAATCTCATTGGAACTTGCATTTTTACATTTCAATTTCTGAATCTACTACCTGGAATGTCAGGAACAATCTTGCTGTTTCACCAGTGGATTCAGACTGACCACCTTACCAGAGTTCAAGGAACATTACCATTTTGAACAATAGAAATGCTTATCATTTCCTGTTGATTTTGTCCACTTTGTTTAATGTTTTGAATACCAATTGTCCTCAACATTAAGGTATTTGAATTTTGATTTAATATTTTGAGACTGGGTCCATCTGACATTGCAGAAAATTAGAGCTTTGACTGTCAAGAGAATTTCCTGAGATTTACGTTTAGGTTAAGAACAGTTGGGATAAACAGTGAGCTGTTATTGCAGTTTCAGCTGTGCCATTGGGCAGAAGAGAATGGAAACTTTCTCTCAGGTAGAGGGAGAAAAACCAGCACTTGTCACCCAGTGTTGTTCAACTTGAACACCTGTGTCGAATCACCTTAGTCCCCATACGTGTCATCTTTGATCAAAGACTATGTCAGGCACAGAACAAGGCTAAGAATGGTGGTAAACTGGTATGGAAAATTCAGCAGGTGATGGAATTGAGGTGCTGCAAACATTTGGAATATGGCTTCCATTGACAGTGGTGAGTGTGAAGGTTTCACCAAACTTTGATCCAAAAGGGCTGATGCTGTACTTGTACCTCTTGACCTTCTGGAGACGAACAGGTATCACGATTTCAACAAATGGGAGATGGCAGTTTCCTAGTGGAAACTCTGAAGCAATTAAACATACTACGCCATTTTAATAAGGAGTGAAACCAAGCTGAAGTTGAACCTTTGCTCATTCAATGTCCATTTGCAAACACACTTTTCAATTGAGGTTACTGCATACTGACAGAGAGCTGAAGCCTTGGCTTGTCATCTCCTTCCACCGCTCTGAGGAGCATTGAGATAATTTGTTCCTCTTCTGGAAGATCAAATGTGAAAGCTTCCTACTGTGCCAACTGTCCATCATCACCAACCAGGCTATCTCATGGTTAGCTAATGCCTCTGTGTTTAAATTCTCATACCAATTTATCTGAAATGGAGAGATGGGGCTTAGAGGGGCTACAAGGAAGAAGAGAGAACTTGATGTGAGATTTGGGTTGACAGACTCTGTTCTGGCATTAATTCTGCAGCATTTTGTCTTTCTGGTGAAGCTTGTCATGTTTTACTGCAGTGTTGCTGGTACTTGGTGATCTGCTGAATCCTCCATGTTTTACGTTTAAAAATCCAAAGTGCTGCTATCCTTTGAGAATTACAGGCCCTGTAGCACTTTTGGCTCAATGCTGTCTGCTCCAAGATTTCATTTGACTTTATTCAAATGAATTAATGAAACCATTTGAAGCTGTGACTCTTGAATGCAATTTTTATGAAATGATTGCAGTTATTAAATCTGTGCCTTCTGCCTTAAGTACTTTACAATTATCAATGTCCTATGCTTCGCTCAAAATGAAATATTTCCGGTTTGGATCTGACTTGAGTATATGTTCTCGTTGTTGAGAACAAATCCTGATAATTAGCTTGAAGCGATTAATATCAGAGGCTGACTAGAACGATCGGAAGAAATGAGCAAAGAAAAAATGAAACAATCATTGGATTTGCTGGACCACTGAATAAAGAAACCCAACTTCAATTACTGGGACCCCAAGGTCTTAGACTGATGTTTGGAGGTCAGGTTCTCTGTTTTCATCCTTTTGTTTTTGTGGAAACCAAACATTAAATTTGTTTCCATGAAATAACAATGACCTTGGAAAGAACCGTTCCTGTAAAAACACATGAATGTTTGTGATTTCCATTTTAAAAGAAAATAAATGCACCAATCAATGCAAGCAACTCAGCAACATTAGGGACCCTTTGTGCCTGTAATCTTTGTGTAGATGTTGTTTGAAGAGGCAGTGCGGTTTTGATGCCGCCTGCTGGATCTAGTTAACAATACCTCAAAATTGTGTCCAAACTCATGCAGATTCATAACTGTTTACAGCCATCTGATGAATATGGCAATGTTACTTACTACTTTCAAGAGGAGGGAGTTTCTGGCCATCCTCTCATTCCCCTTATTCTGGAGTTTTGCACATACACCCCAACATAATCTGTGACCAGTTGACTTCTAACCAGGGATAAATGGATAAAGAGCTAGTTATTGCTACATGCCTGGAAGTGGTTTCCAGTTCAACTGGTGAAACTCAAAACTGTGTCCGTTCATCGGGACGTAAAGTAAATGTACACATGAAATCATCCTGGTGTGAAATGTATGTAGCACTGTTTTGAAGTAGGATAAACTCTGTCCTTTCATCTCTGCTGTCCAGATTAAACATTAATGGCTATGTATTTTTTCTAGCTGACTGCAACTTAGGTAAAATGGGTTCACGTGGGTGTTTACAGAACAGCATAAAATAATAACATTGGAAATACTAGATTGTTTCTCCAGTGTGAGTTTCGGTGCTCTGGGGTATTGTACACTTGAGGGGCCATAATTCAAACATGGAATAAACTGAAGCCCCATCCGCATTCTCAGGTGTACACAAAGATTCCAATGGCACTTTTTGAAGAAACTTTTGGGAGTTCTACCTGGTGTCTGACCCATATTTGTCCGAGAACAACCACCACTAAAATGGATCATTTGATCATATTATCTCATTGCCGTTTGGAGAGCTTGATCTGCATTTCAACACTACTCTTCAAAAGTACTTTGGGATGTCTGTGGGTTGTGAAAGGTGATATGTAAATGCAATTTCTTTCTAACTGACCAGGTATCTATTAATAGTTTTTTTTTGTTGGAGCTGGGGCTCAAGGTTTACCATTTTTAATGTTTTATGATTGAAGCAATGTGACAAGTTACACAGTTATTTGTACGAGTCTGTTGTAACAAATCATCAATGTGATCCAAAGGCCTCCCTAGAATTCTGTTTTAAAAGCGCAGATTAACTGGATTACTTTGTTGATAAAACCAATGTTATCAATGATGAATGAATAAATCTTTATCTGTTGAATTTTCTTCATACCCAAATAAACTTGATTTCAAAGCATCTAATCTGTCTTTTGAATAACCTTTGCCATGATTTAAAATCTTCAAAATAAATTGCTGAAACTGTGACAAAGTAGGTGTTTCAATTTGCTTGTTAGAAAAGATGCTGTACTCTTTCCCCAGTGGATATGTACCCTGGACCTCTGCATCATTGAGAATTTGGTAAGAGCCCACAAGTGCAGAGAGATACGACTGAAGTTTAATGTAAGTCATTTATATAAATGCTCCCTGATACCACAAATATACAGCAGTCATACAATAGATGGAGAAGGCATTATGGAGAGACTAATTCCAGTCAATATTAGATATGTATAAAGCAGAAAACGCGCACTAAAGACTAGCCTCTTATTTTTCAAAGTTGGGTATTTCAAAAACAAGTCAAAATATTTCTCAAACTAGCTGCTATGGTATGGTCTCTCCTACTGAGAAACACTGTTGCAAAGTTGGGTAGAGTATTTAATGTTTATAAAATGATTGGAGAGGAGTGTGTGGTCCTTTTAAAAGATGATATGTCTTTTTTAGCTTGGAGATTTTAAAAAGTCTGCAAGCAGCAGCAGATGCAAAAAGTTCTTGAAATTGAAATATTGTATCAAAAAGGTATAGTGTTGGCAGGCTAAGCAGCATTTTTACCAAGACAACAGGTTTTTGGATTTAGCCAAATAGTTTAAACCAGGCCTTAGATACAAAAACCCAATTACATTTAAATCTGATGTGTTTGACAACCTAGAACCAATCCTATTGTAAGAAATTATTAGGTCATCAAGGGTATAAAAGGGAAGGGAATTTGAAAATAGGTGTGAGGGTCAACTGTCATATGACAAGAAAATAGCTCTGAGCTATAAGAAGAATCATTGGCTCTCACATAATTCTCCAAGCTCTCAGAAAGCCATCATCTAAAATAAAAGTACCATGGCACTCTTAGCTGATATTCTCAGCAAAACAATGTGACAGAGGAAGGTGTTCCTGACTGGAGGACAGCAGAGAAGGCAAAGAATGTTCCGGAAGATTCATCCTGGCCGTAATTTTGAGAGATTAAGTTTTAATTTTTTTATATCAAGTTTGATTATATAAGTGGGACTTGTATTTATTGGAACAGCATACCATTAGAAGTTTGTTTTAATTGGTAATAGTAGTTCTGTGAATTTGCTCACTTGTTAGAGTTAGATAAATAAATTTTTACTTGTTGATTATAGAGTGACCGTCAGGAGTTGATTTTATTTCACCTCCTTTATCACAGATTGAGGGGTGAGGGGCAGGTTATACCACGTTTCCTGTAACAGATTACAAGGTGAGGCTTTTCTGGGGGGGGGCGTTTCGGTTTTAATTCAGAGAGGTGTCTTCTGCTTTGTAACAGCACTAGGTGCATGGGAACGCTACCTCTTGCACACTCCCCTCTAAGTGGCAGAGTATTTTGAACGACGTCACTGTTCCTTCGCTGTCCATGTGTTAAAATCCTGGAACACCCTTTCTGTTAGGAGAGTGGATGTTCCTACACTTAATGGACTACAATGGTTCAAGGTGATGCCTTTCTACCACCAAGGGCAATTACAGATAGGCAATGAGTGTGTACATCCAATAAAAGAATAAAGCAAAAGTGTTAGCTAACAATTAGATTTTTCTAGCAGTACCCAGTATTATATGGTGGTGCTATGTTCCCCACATATGTCCACAGACACATGCAGAAAAATTGTAAGCAACTCTATGCCAGCTGCAGAATATGAAAGAGGGAGTACTACAAACACTCGTTGCCAGCCTATGGTGATACTTAAGCAACTGTGCATCCAGCTCTCTGTCCTAGTCTGATAATATCTCGGTTTCAAAATTCTCGACCTTGTTTTCAAATACTTCCATGATTTCACCCATTCTTGTCTCAGTAACTTGCCTCAACTCTACGACTCCCTGTGAAATCTGAGCTCAAATTTACCCAGGTGCCATTTGCATTAGGAGCTTCAGTTACGTAACCCCTAAGATCTGTTATTCCTATCCAAAACATCTCTACTTCTCCTTTAATGTGTTCCTAACCTCATTCTAAGCAAGCTATTAGTATACTTTCATAATTCTCTTTCTGTATCTCAGTGTCAAAAATACATTTGTTAAAACTCTTGTGAAGCACCTTAATAGATTTTATTGCTTTTTGGGTGCTATATTAAACACAGATGTTGAGGTATTGATCATATATTGAAGTCCCCGTGCCCTATTTTGAGCTCTTGTTGACATTGGACTCTTTGAAACAAAGTTTTTTCGGACAAAGAATATTGAGTGTAAAATGGAATTAAATTGTTTTCGAAAAGGAATAAAATGATTTTTTTTCATGTAAACAATTGATTTCAAAACTATTCCTTTGGTGAACCTTGATTTTCTCCAATACATTTCTTGGCTTGGCTCTATGCTCACTGGAAACGAGAGGAGAGCTGCATCTGAGGAAGGGTTGCCAACTCTGACTGGACATATTATTGGACCATCTCATGACTGTCTGCCTATACCCTACTGTTTAGCAGCCAAAAAAGTCTATTCTCATGCCATTCTGCCTCCCTGGACCAACTGTAAAACAAAGACTTTTTTGTTTATCAAGGGGATGATATTTGCCTGTCAGTCAAATAACCTTTGTTCCCACATCCACTGTTTTTATGAAAAATTTGAGGCCACTTCATTATACGCTTTTATTTTCGGATTCTGGACAGTGGTTTATTTGGAGTGCAGAAATGATACCTGGACCGCTTTGTTTTACAGGGGTCATGAAAAGAACATGGGGACTTCTTGGAATTCAGTGAATTTAGCAAATCGTTTGGACTTGTTACTGGAATTCACGTGCCTGGGTTTATAGCTTTGTTTTGAGCATTGCTTGGAGTTCAGTTGGCATACATCCTGCTGAGAGAGTGAAGCTACCAAACTGATCCTTTGCCTTTCTGAGAAACCCTTTGGAGAGAAAGGAGCAGATACGAAAAACTAATGCAGATGTTTTCCTGAAAACCTTCTGAATTTTCCATGAATTCTGAACATATTGCATCTGCAAAGGCCCAAATGACAGCTACCTGTATTTAGTGACACCTATCCGTGACAGCTGTTATGATCCCTGATGACATTATCATCAGATAAGTTAGTTTCCAATCAGGAACCTAGCTTGATAGATCATACTTTGCTTTGGTTTTAATGAAGCAGTCTCTCACTTAACCACAAGCTCTAAACAGTCAGTATGTTCCAAGGTCTTCACAGGCCTGAAAAACTACCCAAAGTAATTCATAATTAAGTGAAGCTTTTAAATTCTGTTGAGAATAGTAGGGTTAGAGAGAGAGAGGTACTCCTCAATCCTCAGACAAAACAGGTAAACAGAAATTTTAAAAAATAGAAAAAATACAGCAACAAATGTCACCGCTTATGGCCCCACCTTAGGTACAAGATACCGAGGTACAGATACTTAATTATTTGGTACAACAACAAAAAAAAATGAACCTATAATTTCTGGAGATTCAAGGGGGTAATGTTTAGGATTCCCTTCCCAACTAGACTTTTGTTTGAATCACCCAGATTTCTCTACTTTAGTGGAGGCCGGAGCAGGAGGCAGGTTCCAGACAGGAGGCTGGAGTGGGGAGGTGAGGCCTCAAGTTTTGAAGCCCAGTGTGATCTGGAGACTCAGTCTGGTGCGGTCTGGAGGTTCGGTGCTGGCGTGGACTGGGGTGAAAGGACTGTAAATCTAGTACTTTTATTTTCTTTTTTTATTCTTATGCTAGACTTTGATTTATAATTCTTTCACTTTTTGTACCAAATAATTAAGTATGTGTACCTAGGTATCTTGTACCTGAGATGGTGCCATAAGCAGTGACATTGCAAACTTTTCACTGCATTCATTTAAGTGCTCATGACAATAAAACTAATTCAATTGAGTATTTCTGAATTTAACTGGTTCACCACTGGTGGACTAGCTTTTCAGCCAACTAAATCCCACATCATGAAATTTTCTCCTTAAACCATTCCATTTCCCGATCTCACTTTCCTTTTAAGATGCACTCTTTGACTAAGATTTTATTCATCTGCTAGAATGTGTTCTGATATTTTGTGATAAGAGCTCCAACAAAGTGTCTTGGGACAGTTGGTTACATTTAAGAATGTTCCAGGAATATAAGTTGTTGACAATTGTAGTTGGGAAGACACAACATTTGCAACTAGGACAAAATTTTGTCTCCTTTGAGGGTCGTCTAACGCTAGTTCCTGTTTTTTTTCCAGCACAAAGACACAGTTACTAATTGGGTGATGCTTGACTCTATCAGTCAATTTAAAACAAATTGTTTGTTGGCTGTGCATGTCACTAGCTAGGTCAGTATTGATTGCCCATCCCAATTATGAATCAACTACATTGCTGTGAGTCTAGATTCACGTATAGACCAGGTAAGAACAGTAGATTTCCCTCCCTAAAGGGTATCAGTGAACCAGGTAGGTTTTTTTTTAATGACAAGTGACAGTGGATACATAGCTTTTAATTCCAGATTTATTTTTTTGAATTCAAATTCCCAATGTCAGCCTCAATGGGATCTGAAACCAGGTCACCAGAAGGTGAGCTTAGGCCCTCTGAATTTCTAAAGGAGGCCACCACCTCCCTTAAAGCTTCCTTCCCTCATCTCTTGCAATTTTGCTTTATCAATAGGTACAATGTCTTGTTCAAGTTGCAAATGTTCCGTTCCAGCTATGTTCAACATCGACAGCTTATTGTTCCAAAACATTTTTTTGTGATTTTCCTTGTAATCATGCACTCCATCATTTTGGACAGTGATCAAACAATATGAAACAGAACAATGTAGGGAGGCATTAGGGCGGTTGACAGAGAGTAAAGAGAAATACTGAAGGAAAATTGCAACAAATTTTTTTTGTTATTAATGTCTCTGTGACTTCCCTCCAGGGTTGCACATGACAATGTCCTGGAGATTAATCTTCAATTCCTGGAGACTGTACAATTGACCTACTTTGGTAAATTCAGCTGTGTAGTTCAATATCACAACACTTGGGTTGGATCCA